GAGCGGGGTTCATTCTAGAGACCTGGGAAGGGAGGTAAGGTCTGGCCAAGGGCAAGGTAGAGCAGGGAGGCTGGGCGAGGGGGAGAGTTTGGGCAGGTGGGGGTAAAGTGGGGTGAACTCCTGAAAGTGCCTGGGGCTGCTGTGGGCAGGCACTGGGGGTGTCTCAACAGATCCCCACACAAAAGGGCCAATTACAGCCCCCACATCAAGCCAGCTGGGGGTGAAGTGAATCAGCCCCTGAGAATGTAGTTGCTGAGAACCCAGGGCCACACCCCAGGAGTTCTGGGGCCCCTCACAGTCCTGTCCAGGAAAAACCTCATCATTCGCGTACTCAGAGGGTCTTTGGGGAGGGATATTTTCAAGCCCTGCCTGAGTGAGACGCGTGGACCGACACCCCAAGCAGCACCCTCCACTCCAGTCTTGCAGGCAATGGCATGAGCTGCAGAACGGAGGGCTACTTCTTTTAAAACATCTACACACACGTTTCTTTAAGTTTAGTGCGTACCGAGAAACTCCCAGAGCTCAAGGACCAGTGTCAGTTTCAGGAGCTGCGCCTTCCTGGGCTCTTCTCAGCAGCTGCTGGATTTTTAGAAATCAGTAATAACAGCAATGATAATTCACCTTAATAACAGCCTGGCTCTGAAGGCCTCTTTCATCTGCTTAACTCCCAGAGCTGGGAAAATGGTAATTACGGAGCCGGTGCCACACCCCAGTGATGATGTGTTGTTAATCCATCAGCACAGGCTGGGAAACTGAGGCCCAGGGAGAAGGATTTCCCCTCACGTGGAGCCGAGACATGGGTGCCAAGGGTCACCAGGCAGTGAGGAACTGAAGGCGCTGGCTCCGTACCTGCTGTTTGGGAGGAAGCTGAAGATGGCACTTCGTTCAGAGTCAGCCTGACCTGGGTTTGGAGTGAAAGTGAGGGGGACCTCAGATACGTCCCCCAAGTCCCTCCCTCTGCTTCAGCAGGGGTGGCGGCGGTGCTGGCTTGGTGTAACAGCCTCAGATCTTGGTCCCACACACTCACTGTCCTAAAGTGATGCAAAGCAGGCTGCCAGGCACTTTAGTATGTCCACCAGCCCCCAAACCTTGCGGGCCCCCAGCGTAGGTGAGGCCCCATCCTCCAAACATCAACACATACAGGGGGAGGGAAACTTGCATCCAGGTGGGTGGATCAGATCTGAAATATTTTAAAAAGTAGGGAGAACCCTTCTTGGGGCCCAAGCCCGTCTCTGCAGCCCCTTCTATCTTCGGCACTGATCTTCGATTAGTGCACTCCCTCTTACAGCAAGGCCTGCCTGGGCTGTCCTGCTGCAGAGAAAGATGCACAAGAGGCCTTCTAGAGGCCTGTGCTTTCTAGGAGGGCAGGGAAGGGTGGGAAAATAGTCACAAAAGACCAGGATCTTTTCCTAGCGTGGAAGGAGCCAGCAGAGACTCAGATAAGGATGGAAGTAGAGTCACTGTCTTTGCAGACCTTTCCTAGCTGACTATGTGCCTGTGAGGGATGCTGGAAACACACAATCTCGGCTCCGGGGAAACCACAGAGCCAAGCCTGGTAGCAACCAGCAACCTTGTCCCCCACGCCTCCAGGTCAGGGCTGGGAGAATGTATTAAGTTCTTTTAAAGGATTTTATGTTGTTTTTCTTCAGCATGTCAGGGCTGACTAGACCCCTGCGGCCCTGCTGCAACACTCTGAGCCTCCAAGGGGCAAGCTCTCCTCACTCTCAGGCTCAAGAACTGCCCCCTCTGCTTTGAATGCGGCAAAGGTCCCCCACACCCCCACCTCCCCATGCACAAAAAATGTAGGCAGAATGGGCCCATGTAAACACGACATCAGAGTCAGGAGCCCCGCCTCTGAACTCATCTGTGTGAATCACCTCCCCCTCTGGACTTCAGTTTCCCATTTTTAACACGAGGGCGAGGGCGTTGGGCCTGACTATCTCCAGGATTCTTTCCAGCCTATGACTCTGTGTTGTTTTGATGTGATGGCAGATCCTAGATTGATTTACATAAATTTGCATGTTCAATCAGAAATCCCAAACTCCAAGTATAGAAAATCCAACCAGTCCATTAGTGCAGCCAGACCGGGGCGGGAGGAGCCTGCCAGGTTTGGGGGAGGACCGTGGAAACAGGCAGTGGCCTTGGCGATGAACTGGGGGAGGAGCTGTGGGGCCAGAAGAGGTGTTTGTGGTGAGAGACGCGACTCTGGTGGCCCAGGGCTGCTGGGGCCAGGGACTCTGTTTCGGTTATTAGGCAAGGGTCCCCTCTCCTGCGGCTTCTAACGGGGCCTCTGCTGGCCAGCTTCAGAGCCACACCCCAAGAGGAGGCAGCAGCCTCTGCCTAGCAACAACCGCATCCTTCACTCTGACAGGGACTCTACCGTTAACACTTTCTGGGCATCTCACCTCCCCAGGAGCTTCCAGTCCCCGGTCCAGGGGCCCCATCCCTGAGGGAGGTTTCCTTGGGGTCTAACCTGCACAGCTCCTGCTGCAGCTTGACAGCCACAGGCAGCAGGGCCTAGGGAAGAGGGTCCAGGCCCAGGAGAGCCAGCCAAGGGAAAAGCAACGCAGGAGAATGGGCCCCACGTCCAACCAATCCCGTGGCTTCTCTAACCACTTCAACAGGCCCCCTCGGCACCTGGGAAACCGGGGATGAAAACAAACAAGGAGAACATGAAGGCCTTTGGCACTTGGGCTAGAGAGCAAGTCCCAACCTGGAGAGTCTGACTCCTCAGAAAGCCCTACCCACAGGAGAGAAGGAGGCTGGGAAAGTGGGGTTGGGGCAGCTTCTCCCTGCTGCTGCCTGCCTGGCATGGCAGGCCTGGGAGGCTGGCTGGGCTGAGAAGGGCAGCGGGCACGATGCCTTAAGCCTCTTCTTCACAGCTGGGGGCGTGACTGCAGAAGTGAGGTGAACAGGGCAAAGGGGTGGGATGGGCACCGGCAGTGGCTCTCCTTGTCCTCTCTTCAGACAGGGTGGGTGAGTGTGCTGTGCTCCCTGGCCCAGATCCTAAAACAAGTCCCAACAGCTGAGATGCAAACTGTCTCCTGGGAAATGTGCTTACCCTACTGGCCCTTGGCTGCCTTCTTCTCTCTCCACCCCTCCCCTATGGCCCAACTCAAAGACTGGCCAGGCCAGGATGTCTCACCAGAGGCCGTGATGGGTGGGCCAAACCCCGGCCAGCAGGAGTTCGTACCCCAACACATGAGGGTGAGCAGAACAATGGCTACTTTTAGGCAGGAAAAGGGAATCTGCTCCCCTCCACCCGGTGTTCTAATCCTAAGCCTGCAGAAGCACATCACCGAACACCGACCTCTCTAAACGGAGCCACCCTGCCAGGGGGCCTGTCACTCTTTCAGGTTCACCAGTGGAGCCACACAATGTCAGAAGTGGAAGGGGATGTTAGCGCTTTCTAATCCAACTGCTGAATTTTACAGATGGGAGAAATCCCAGAGGCAAACTGTCTTGGCCAAGGTCACACAGCAAGCGAGGAAAAGCAGGGGCCAGAACTCCGACCCCAGCCCCAGTGACTGCAGTGTGGGCCTCAAACACACTGATTTGAGCCTGCTTGTGGTGGCAGAGCCTTCTTCCCACAGCCCAGGCCCGCCTCCCCCACTCTCCCGCAGGCCAGAGCTGGAGGGAGATGTTGCAGGACCCACACCACTTCAGGCAGAGGGAAGACACCCCCTCACACACAAACCACGGATTCTGAAGACAAACTTGAACGATGTGGGAATTCTCCCCAGGCGGAAATACGCGTGTTTCTCTGAGACAGGAAACTCAGTGACCCGAGTGTTCTTAGATCAATGTAAAAAAAGAATTTTGTGTCTCCTTTCATGCCAGCCACGTGAGCTGGCACCGTCCACGAGAGGAGGGTCTCAACAAGGCAACTGGGCTCATTTTCCCAAAAAAGTACTGACCACAGGGTAGTTAGACACTGACCCTTCTCTAGTGGCCCTCAGAACCACCCAGTTCCTGGCAGCTGCTGCCAACCGCAGGCGATGGCCCTTAGGTGGGGGACTGTGCAGGGGGAGAGCAGCCGCAGAGAAGGGCTAAGAACTGCTTGTGCAGCCGGGCGACCAGAGCCCGAGAGTCCTGGCTCCTCGGGAGCGTTTAGGAAGCAGCATTTAAGAAGTAGCGGCTGGGCAGGCTGGGTGGGTAGCGCAGAGACACCAGAAAAAACAGGCCTGTGGGAGGCGAGGGCCCTCTGTGCCCTTGGGGCAGTGCCAGGGCTGGGGAAACCGCGGGGCCTCGAGCTGAGGATCAGGAGAGGGCCTGGGATTCGGACAGCCGCTTTCCCAGCTGGACGAGACCAGGGGCGCGTCGGGCACAGAGAAATTCCCTGCATTCTTCTGCCACCGCAGCAGGACCCGGAGAGCCCTCCCTGCAGGCGGTCCTGGCCGCGCTCCCTGCCTCACCTCCTCTCTGGGGTGGCCCCGCTAGACTCCTCTTGGCGCAGGCCCCGAAGCCCACGAGGGGTAGTTCCCGGGGACCCTGACACCCCGCCTCTCTCCGTCTCCCCCAGGCCCCACCGCCCCCGGCCACCAGGACCGCACGGGGTGCGCAGGGGAGCCCCGGGCTCGCCCCCGCGCCTGCGCTTTGGGGAGATGCTGCCCCCTCCAGCCGCCCGCAGCGCCCGGCTCCGCTAAGCGGTACCCAGCCCTCGGGGGGCGGCGGGCGAGGCGCGCGGGGGGCAAGGTCAGGGCTCTCCCGGCGGGAGGGAGCCCGGCCCCCGGAACATCCCCTCTCCCGAAAGTTTCCCTTCCGGGGCCATGGAGTGTGCGCGAGGCGGGTGTGGGGGGCGGCGGGGGCCGGGCGGGGGCACCGAGCCGCAGCCAGACCCCCCGGGAGCGCGCGGGGCTGGGCTGCGGGGCGGCCCGGCGGGAAGCCGCGCGCCCCCTCGGACGGGGCCGCCGCGGGAGCCTCGCCCCCGTCGCCCCCCCAGCCCGGGCTTACAGGCCCCCCGCCCGCCGCCCTTCAACCCAAGTAGGCCCGGAACTCACCGAAACCAGGTGCCGCGCGGGGCCAGGGCAGGCCGGACCCGCCAGGTTCATGGCCGCGGCGCGGGCCGGGGGGCCGAGCGAGGGGAGGGGTGCCGGGGCCGCCGCTTGATGTCAAGGCTTTAAAGGGGCCCGTGAGCCCCGCCCCCGCCGGGCCCCGCCCCCGCCCCGCGCAGCCAATCCGCGCCCTCCCTGCGCGCGCGCCCCGCCCGGCTCCGGCCAGATGTTCCCAGGACCCGCGCGGTTCCGCCGGGCCGGCGCGCGCCGCTTCCGCCCGGGGGGGCGCTCCGCGGGGGACGTGCCCTCCCGGCCGGCCGCCCGGGCCTGGCAGACCCCGCTGCGGGGCGGAGGGGTCCGGGCTGGCCGAGCGGGGCTGCCGTGGGGCGGAGGGGGGGCCTCAGTGAAACACTAAGTAGGTGCGCGGAGCCGAGAGCGTGCGCTGCTGCCCCGTGGCCGCGTGTGCACGGGCATGTGTGCCCCGGGCCGTCGGGGCTTGGGGTTTGCCTTCTTGTGGACGTGTTGGGTTAGGGTTAGATGCTTGAGCGCTTCCTTGACCGCAGCTGCTCCGGCCCCCTGTATCCTCCTCTGGAATCCGCTCCTCCCAGTATGTAGAAAACTGGGCACTGGGCACTGGCTCTGCTTCTCCCAGTGCTTTTTCCTCACTGGCGTAGGGGAAGTGAAGGCTGCGCAGAGAGAGGCTATACCCCTGTTCTCAGCCACTCACTGTCTCGGTGGGGATGAGTTCCTTCGTGGTCGAACTAACCGTGTACTTAGAAGAGGGGGTTAAAAAACAAGAGAGGAAAACAAATAGCCCACCTAGATCCCTGAAAGGCTCCGGAGTTCCCTTCAATACCATTCTCATTGGTCCTTGGTTAAACATCTATTTGCCTTTGTCCAAATACCAAATAATGTACTTCACAATCTGCACTGCACTGACCTGGCGTTAATGCAGATTCTGCACGGGGTCCTCAGAGAAATACTTCGTGATCCCCAGCCAGTCTCTGTCCATTTTATTAAATGGGTACACTAATGTATTATCACATTAGTCCAATAAAGGAACCTAAAAGCTGAGGGGACATAGGGTATTCACATTGGCTTGGATTAATCAAGAGTTCCTCTCTGATAGGGGACCTTCTTAATTTAAAAAGGGATTTGAAGGGCAGAGAGAACTTGAGTAGGATCCAAGCAGGGTAAGGACACAAGAGACTCCAGTAGGAAAGACCAAATTATCCGCATGGAACAGTGAGCAGATCACTCTGGTAAGGTGGAAGTGGGGGAAGCAATGGAGGAGGTTTTGTATGGATAAGATCTGAAGGAGGATCTGAATTTAACAGGACAGCTTAAAGATAAAGAGGTCATTGGGGTTCTTGAGCACAAGAGTAGCTTGATGAAAAGAGTGCGTGAGGATAGTTATTATTCCAAGTTATCTCACCTTTGCTTTAAAACCTTTAAAACTTTTTTTACATCAACTGATCCTTAGCATACAATAAAATGCACGTCGCAGGTGTTTAGTGAATTTCAGCAATAATATACATCTACATAATCCCTCCAAAGAAGGTACTGAGACATCCCAAGAAAATTGTTCCATGTTGATTGCACTGCAACTCACTCCCTGCAACCTCCTGAATTCTATCAGCACAGTCCTGTCTGTCTTGGGACTTCACCTAAGTGGAATTATACAATATATATATTTTTTAATCTATATTTTTAGTTTAGTATTGTTTTTGAGATCCTGCCACGTGTATTCTTTTTTACTGCCAAATAATATTCCATTGTATGAATATATCAACTTGTTTATCCATTCCCTAGTTGATGGATATTTGGGTGTTTCCAGTTTTAGGCTACTATGAATAAGATTGCAATAAATATTCTGTACAAATCTTTTGGTGAACATGTTTTCATTTCTGAGAAAACTGATCTTATTTCTTGATGAGAGATAGAAGCATCTTTGGAAGCCAGCAGCATTGATTATTTGTCCACTTCTTAAACAATTATTAAATAATGACTAGCGGGCTAGTAATGGATTTCCAACAAAAAAGACACATTCCCTTGCTCGAAGGGCTTGAAGGTCCAGTAAAACTCCACGTATCTGTTGCATTCCAAAGTCATGAGGTGGAAAAACTTCAAGAGTCTGCCAGGCATTTCTAGATTATTATTGGATATTCCCAAATAACTAAAATTTTGGAAATAGACCACCTAGCTGACTTTTTACTTTTCACTCAGATGTTTACCCTTGTAAACACAGCCAGAACATCTGTACTTATTAGGACAAGTACCGCTCTCCTTACTTGAAGACTCTTGTGTACTTCAAAGTTTAGGCATTCAGATTTTGACAGATCCTGTTTCATAAATCTGCATCTTCATTAATGTTAGGTGAAAAAGTACATTAGATGAAGTCATTGCTCTATGATTGCATTGTCTTTGATGCGATTTAAGACGTTCATTTTTATTTTTCCCTTGTTATTAAATTATTAAAGTTACACAGAAGCCCCAACGTTGGTTTTCTACCCTTGCAATATACCACTGGACATATATTGTTCTTTAGTTGAGTTGTCTGTGTACAAAACAAGAGCTCTCAGGTCTCTGGTTGCAGCAAGCTATGGTAACATGCCAGTTTGGTGGCGTAGTCTGTGTATACAGTGATGCTGACTGACTGGGACAGACATCTCAGAGAACCATCCCTCACTGCTCACATCAGTACTTTGAATGGGATCTTCTGCTTCAGTACTATGTGGTCTTTCATCAGTATTACAGCAGCTTCATGCCTATGACATAGTAGCCATTTGGTCATTGTGTGACATTAGTTGATAAACTGACCCCAGTTCAGAATTCCTGACATCAGCAGATAGTCATGTTGGTAATTGGTGTCTCAAAACATTTTAATAATCTGGCTACTCTCCAGATTGGAAAGAGTCTGAGTGCATTCTTGATGTTTTTCCTGCTCAGAGGAAGAAAGGAGCTGGGCATAGGCTAATGTGTAGTCCATTTGCTGAGAAGGAACAGAGCTTTGTTATTGCTGCTTAATTCTGCATAGGACAATTATGTTCCTGTTCCTTGGATTTTGACAGTATTGCCAGTATGTGCTTTGAAATCCCCATCGGGCACAGATACGATGGATCTACCAAGCTCTTGAATCCCTTTCCATTCATTTTTCCCATTCAAAAATTCTTTTTTTAAAAAAAGATTTATTTTATTTATTTATGCATACAATAACTGGGGTATAGGCTAGAGGTGCAGGAGGGCATTCAGAAGATTCACCAGAGACAGAGTGGGGAGCAGAACAGGCAGATCTGCTGAAATACACTGCTGAGGGGAGCAGCAGTCAAGACAGAAGAGGTCTGCTAAGCCATGTCAGCACCCTGGCCAGGATCTGGGGATAGCTTGATAGCGCTGAGACTTTAACCCCTGGAGCCACCAGGGAGGCCTCCCCTCATTAAAAAATTCTTTTTTTTTTTTTTAAAAGATTTATTTATTTATTTATACAAGCACTGGGTACAGTCAGAAGTGCGGAAGGGTGAGAGAATTCACCAGAGCCAGAGCGGGAAGCAGAGCAGACAGACTGAAGTACACTGCTGAGGGGAGCAGCGGGCGGCAGGAGAGGTCTGCGAGCCATGTGGGACCCTCCTCCAGTGGCCGGGGAGCAGCCGGGGATCGATCGAACCGGCGCTGCTGCTGCAGAGGCTGAGGGCAGCCTCGCAACCCAGCGCTCAACCGTTGCGCCACCGGGGAGGCCCCATTAAAAAATTCTTAATAAATCTTTTTTTTTTTTAATAGAGGCATGTTTTTTATTTATTTGTTTGTTTGTTTTTGTTTATACATGCACTGGGTACAGTCAGAAGCGCGGGAGGGTGAGAGGATTCACCAGAGCCAGAGCGGGGAACAGAACAGGCAGAGTGATGAAATACACTGCTGAGGGGAGCAGCGGGCGGCAGGAGAGGTCTGCGCGCCATGTGGGACCCTCCTCTGGTGGCCGGGGAGCAGCCAGGGATCGAACCGGCGCTGCAGAGGCTGCGGGCAGCTTCGCAATCCAGCGCTCAACCGCTGCGCCACCGGGGAGGCCCCCCATTAAAAAATTCTTAATAAATCTTTACTGTATGCCAGGAGCTGTGCACGTTACATAACTAATATGGGATTCAAGTGGCGTATAAGCAATGAGACTGAAAATACAAGCAGTGGGAAGATCATATTTTATCCAAGAGCAAAGGGGATCTTTCTAATGGTTTTTTAGCAGGAGTCGGGGGTGGTGTAATTAGAATTTCATTTTAGAAAGATCACTGTGGCTGCAGTGTGGAGAACAGAGAGCAAGACTGAAGTCAGGAGGACCAGACAGAAAGTTGGTCTGTAGTAATGCTGGGGAAAATGAGAAATAATATGCTTTGGACTGAGAAAGTGAGATTGGTGATAGTGAGGCGATGACTTCAAGAAGTAGTGAAGTCAGCAGGTTTTGGGATTAAAAGTCGAAGGGAGGCAGAGGGCTTGGAGTGGGTAAGCTGCAGATGTGTGGCCAGTCACTGAAAGGGAAAAACAAGGAAGGGCAGGTTTGGAGATGCCACGCCTACTTCCCAACACGCTGACATGTGAATGCCTGGTTGACAGCCCGGTGGCAGCGTCTGTCTGGGAGCTGAGGGCTTCCCAATGGTTGTGCCTCGGGGGTCGGTTGCAGGTGTGCTGCACGTTGCTCTTCTCAAGCCTCAGGGCAGCACCAGCTCCTTGGCAGACAGCAGACTTGGTGAGTTGTCATGAAAATACATCGTGTTTTATGTGTGCCATGATGTGGAGAAGGCTGGGCAGTGCTGATGCACACTGCTGTTAGAGAAATAATTCTGAAGCTCAGAAGAGAGACCTGGACTAGAGATAAGGAGACTTGTGAGTCATCAGGACAAGAGGAGGACTGAGTACTGTCACTAGAGCCCAAGAAACCACCCCACCCCCAGAAGAAATCATTCCTGATACTGCTTATGTCAAGCTGGATCAAAACTGAGACAAAGCATTTTAGTCACATGTCATTGGTAATTTTGGCAAAACCAGATTTTGAAGGGTTGACAAAGATGTACAAAGTGGGGATGGGGGCAAGAAATGCTGTAAAGGAAAAGTGAGACAGATAGATAGGTGGGTCGGGCAGTGGAGGACAAGAGTTAGAGAAAGACTGCCCAATTTCATTTTCAAAATTATTTACGGGCCCCCCTGGTGGCGCAAGGGGTTAAGCACCGCACTATGAAGTGATCTGCAGTCTCTCCAGCACGAGTTCGATCTCCAGCCGGCCAGGGAGCAACCCACATGGCGTAGCAGACCTCTCCTGACTTACCGGCTGCTCTCCTCAGCAGTGTACTTTGGTCAATCTGCTTGTTCTGCTCCCCACCCCACCGCCCCGCCCCATCTCTGGTGAATCCTCTCACCCCCTGCATCTCTGGCCTGTATCCCAGCTCTTGTATGAACAAATAAATATTTTAAAAAATATATTTACTATTAGTTATTTTTTAAAAGCATCTCTGTTCTAGACCAGCCTGACCTGTCTGTTCCCAATGAACAAAACACCCATTCCTGTGTACACTTGCTGAGAGATTGCTTTTCCCAAGCACATGGGGATGCTCCTCTCCCTTCTGTTGATCACTGCAAAAGCTCTCAGGGGCAGCTCAAATTCTATATCTTGCAGGAGTCTTTCATGCTCAGTGTAGACCATAACCATTTTTTCTTTGCTGAAGCTCACACGGTTGCCTGCTGCCTTATATGAGCCTCTCTTTTTCTTTTCTACTTTAACATACTTGCTGAATGAAATCTAACCATCAGAAGTCCAGGGTGGCTTAATTTACTTTTCCCTACCCCCCACTGCAGCTAAAGGCATTCTGGGTATCTGGAAGGAATTTGATAATACTCTGGATTTGCCATAAAAGTAGATTAGCCACATGTGGCTAATGAGCATCTGGAATGTGCCTGGTGCAAATTAAATTGAGCTGAAAGTATACACACTAGATTTTGAAGATGGTATAAAAATGTGACATCTTATTCATAATTTTTATATTGACTATGTTGAAACAATTTTTGGATATACTGGATTAAATAGTTTATATTTTTTTGTAGAGCATTTTTTTTTCTTTTTAAGATTTATATATTTATACAAGAACTGGGATACAGGTCATAGGCGCAGGAGGGTGAGAAGATTCACCAGAGACAGAGTGGGGAGCAGAATAGGCAGACGGACCAAAGACACTGCTGAGGGGAGCAGCGGGCGACATAGGAGAGGTCCGTCATGCCATGGGAATCTCCCTGGCTGGCCAGGAATCAAACCCGCGCTGCAGAGGCTTTGGACAGCCTCACAGCACAGCACTCAACCCGCTGCGCCACCAGGGAGGTCCTGGATTAAATAATTTTAAGTTAAGTTGTATGTAGGACCATTCTCTATTCCTGTCCCTCAAGAAATCTTGTCATGCTTGATTTTGGCTCCTGAATTAAGCTGGTTTGAGGATAAATGAAATGATCTTTTCCTGGAGCTAAAGATATTCTCGCTGTCTCCACGGGTTTTCATAGGCCATTATGCAATCATTACCTTCTTGGTTCCAGGGCCTCACCTTTATGAGTACGATTTACACATCTCTTTGAAACTAACTGCTATAGACCTGTTCTTCCCAACAGGTCAGGCAACTGCTCAGTCGATCTAAATGTCAGGGAACAGGTCAGGCTCAGATGCTGACGCATCTCCCAAAGCTTTTAATGACTGGCGATTCCTCAGTTAATCATGTAGATGGAGCCCCTGCCTATCTCTTTGGTTGCTGGGGCCACTTTCCACAATCAAATTGTTTGGGACAGGTGCCCATTGGCTTGTGGCCTCGTCTTATTGTGGTCAGCACCCCTGTGCCTTCTGACAATACAAATTTTTTATCTTGCAGTTTTGGAGGTCAGAAGTCTAAAACTGAGGTGTTGATAGAGCAGCAGTCCTTCTGGAGACAATGGAGAAGCCTTTTCTAACTTCATTTCCCGGTTCCCAGTTCTTCCTTACATCACTCCAACCTCCTGCTTCTGTCATTACATCTCTTATTGTCTCAAGTCTCCTTTGCTCCCTCTTGTGGGTTAAACTCAGGGCCTAGCCTGATCATCTAGATTAAGCTCCTCATCTCAAAATCCTCAATCAACATATCTGTTTGTACACATTTACAAAGTCTCTTTTGTTCCAGGGATTAGGATGTAACATTTTGAGGAATCAGTGGACAGCCTGCCAGAGCCCCACATACACTTCTTTGCATTTCTTGGTGAAGGGAGAGAGTACCATCAAGGCCACAAAGTTTCAAAGTGTTTTTAAATTAAGTTCTATAGAGAAGTAAATTAGTTCACATTTGTAACCACTGTGATCAGCTGTGAGGGGTAGGTTGGGCCCAGGAAGAGCTGGTGCTTTTTTTTTTAAAAAAGATTTATTTATTTATTTTAAAGATTTATTTATGCATACAAGAGCTGGGGTACAGGCCAGACATGCCAGGGGTGAGAGGATTCACCAGAGACAGAGTGGGAAGCAGAACAGGCAGATCTACTGAAATACACTGCTGAGGGGAGCAGCGGGCACAGGAGAGGTCTGCTGCGCCATGTGGGTTGCTCCCTGGCAGGCTGGGGATCGAACTCATGCTGTAGAGGCTGTGGATTGCTTCATAGTGCAGTGCTTAAAACCCTTGTGCCGGGCCTCCCCAGTGGTGCAGCGGTTGAGCACTGGGTTGCGAAGCTGCCCGCAGCCTCTGCAGCGCCTGTTCGATCCCCAGCTGCTCCCCGGCCACCGGAGAAGGGTCCCACATGGCGCGCAGACCTCTCCTGTCGCCCGCTGCTCCCCTCAGCAGTGTACTTCGGTCCTTCTGCCTGCTCTGCTCCCCGCTCTGGCTCTGGTGAATTCTGTCACCCTCTTGTGCTTCTGACTGTACCCAGTGCTTGTATAAATAAATAAATCCTAAAAAAAAAAAAAAAGGGGGGGGATCAGGAGCAGCAATTATAAAAAGATTAAAAGTAGTATTGGAGGCTAATTGAGATTGGAAATGGCACCAGCTACATAATTATTCTGCATGAAATAGAAAAACTGGTTTTCCCAAATCCCTATTGTTTAGGTATTGTGCTGGCTTCTCTTATCATGCATAAAATTCAAATTCCTTAGCAGTAACTTTTACTAAATTCTCCATCGATAGGTCTACCTCTAATTAGTAGTTCTCTTGTTCTCTGCTCCTCCTTCAGTAACTTCAATTCAGAATATAGGATCTTAGAGATTTCAAAGCTCATCAATCTTTTTTCTTAGCTAGATAGGTTTTGCTTTTCTCTCTTCTCTGCACCAAATAAATCTTCCTTTGTCTTCCACTTTCTTTTGGATTCAATTAGTATTTTAAAGATCAAAACCTTGTGAAATTGAACTAAGCCAAAAAGATAAAGACAAATGTTGGATAATTTAACATGAGTTATTATAAGTATTATATGATTATTATAAGGAAACAGTGGATGAACTGAAATAATCATACAAAAATAATTATAAACTAGCAAACACTGATCATCCAACCGAGGTTTCAGTGATTAAGATGGAGGGGGAGGGGAAAAGGGTCAAGGGAATATACAAAAAAAAAAAAGAATTGGGGCCTCCCTAGTGGCGCAGGTGGTTGAGTGCAGCGCTGTGAAGCTGTCCGCAGCCTCTGCAGTGCTGGTTCAATCCCCACCGGCAGTAGAGATACCCACATGGTGCAGCAGACTTCTCCTGTCTTGCCTGCTGCTCCTCTCAGCAGTGTATTTCGGTCAGTCTGCCTGTTCTGCTCCCCACTGTCTCTGGTGAATACTCTCACACCTCCTCCCCGCACATCTGGCCTGTACCCCAGTTCTTGTATAAATAAAAAATAAATCTTTAAAAAAAAATTGGATTCTTTCATAGTACATTGATTTTGGGGTGGGGGGAGACCATAAAAATAAAAACCTGACAGACACTAGTCTACCCCACAGCATTTATGCTGTAGTCAACCACTTGGACTATATTTTATGCATGCTTCCCTGCACACAGATTGGTCCCTCACCTCCACACTGGTGTGCTTTGGCTAAGGATGCTGAGAAGAGTCCTGAGTTAAGTTTCTTGCTGGCATGTTCAAAGCCTGGGTGAGGTTCTTTTTCTTGAGTTGAAAGTACTCTAAAACTCTCTTATCTAACTAATTGATGAGGCATTTTCAACCATATTCAAGTTGCTTTTATTATATATAATTATATATATGTGTATATATTACATACACACACACATACACACACACACAAAATATAATCCCACTTAATTTATTTCATTTGTACCAGCTAAAATTTGGGCTCATAATTTAAATCTTTTAAACACCTTTTAAACGCCAGTCAATGCATTAGTCTGTCTATAACTGCTGTGCTAAGACTGGGCATGTTGGAGACTTGCTCTGGAAAGATAACATGTTTTTCCTACTAACCCTCTCCCTTAGCCAGGTCAGTGACTTCATTCTGGATTGTATTGTGAGGTATTACCTAAAGGCAGGACCAGTAAGTCCAGAAGAAGCCTGAAGAAGCCAGGTGAGAATCAAGGAGCCCAGGGAACTAATTCATTATAAGGCTAGCCTGATCTAAGTTTAGAGATAACCACCAAAAGCTGCTATTTCCATATTCCAAAACCAGGGCCACTTTCCCTAGACCACCCCGATCCAGACAGCCCAGCTCAATCCACAGATGTAGTGTCCTCTGGGATGTTCCCAAATAATGAGGAACAGATCCTCTTTCAATTACGTCTTGGACATTTTGAAAGGCTGCCTATCTGTGAGGAGTTAATTAATACTTAATTTTTAGTATAAAACCCTTACAATATCTCTTTTCTGGTTCCATCTCACTGTTTCCAGAATTTTAATCTGTCCCTTTCATCTCCTTCTTCTATCAGAGACTCAGGAATTGGATGAGTTTCTATGGTGCGCTTTGCTCTGAAAAGCAAAAGGCTTCGGTCCCAGCTGGTGCTGCCAAAACAGCATACTAATTCCATGCCATGGTCCTGGGTCAAGAGCTGTATAATCTGATTGGCCATATCACCTCGGATGGCAAGGGAGCGGAAGTGGTCAAAATTGTGGAGGCCCAGCTTCCGGACACGCCTTGCAGCTGCCCGGTAACACTTCCAGGGCTGTGGCTCCACCAGGAGGTAGCGGCAAAGGGAGGAAAGGTGAGCCAAGAACTCCCACAGGCCCTGGTCTCCATGGTTCAGATGAATCCACATGGTTACTGACATGCAGAAGCCAATGTCAAAAACTGAGCGTCCAAACTGGCTTAGGAAAGAGCTTAAGAGAACTTTCCGGGTGCTTTGATTCATGAAGTCCAGGGTGATAAAGGTCAAGGCATCAGGAAAAGGGCATTCTTTCTCAGCTCTCTCCACCAGGACTGGATCTATGTCACAGCAGAGGAAACGGAGTTCTCCTGAGACATCTGAGCAGGTCTCCCCATCATGTAGGGAAAGGAAGTGTCTGTATAAAGCCACACTCAGATCCTAGAGAAATCCAAAAGAGCTTGGTCATTGCACTGTCAGCCAGTGAATGAAAGTGACATTCCTGTCTCTTCCCACTGAGATTGCCACTTACTCCTTGGTTTGTAAGGATAAACTACAGGCTAAGAGGTTGCCCAAAACTTTTTCCAGATCAGGCGCTCAGTGCCCTCCAGAGGTCTCAGGCTGTAATGCACTCCTGACATATGGTGGATGGGGTGCTATGGCTCTAAGTTTCAGCCCAATATTTGCACCAAAGGAAGCTGGAGCACCATTTTCCAGCTTAAGTAAATTAAATGCTAGTAAATGATCTTTTTTTTTTTTGGGGGGGGGGGAATCTCAGACTCCAGGGAGGTGGAGAGTTCCAGGGAGGCAAGGAACAGAGCAAGCACCAACTTATAACAACCTGCTTCCCAGAGTTATGGTTGGGAAAGTCTGAATTCCAAAAGTCCTCAATTCAGCCTTCATACTACAATTTCACTTTTATTACCTCTTATGCTTCAACTCCACCCATCTGAAATGTATTGTTTCTGCATCCATTACCCTCAAAAGTCACCGCTGACCTCCTTCTAGCTAAATCCAATTATTTGTGGGGTTTTTTTTTTAGCCATCCTAGCACCCTCCCTCTTTTTTTTTTTTTAAAGATTTATTTATGCATGCAAGAACTGGGGTACAGGCCAGAGGTGCGGGGGGTGGAGGTGTGTGTGGTGGTGGTGAGAGGATTCACCAGAGACAAAGTGGGGAGCAGAACAGGCAGATGTACTGAAATACATTGCTGAGGGGAGCAGCGGGAGAGACAGGAGAGGTCTGCTGTGCCATGTGGGTTAGCTCCCTGCCAGGGATTGAACTCATGCTGCAGTGGCTGGTGATAGTTTGATAGTGTGGTCTTTAACCCCTGTGCCACGAGAGAGGCCCCCCTTTCTCTAACTTTGACTTATTTAACTATTATAATTAAGTCAAATTCAAATTGTTCTAATCTGTTTTTTTTTTTTCCCTATTCACTACCTCATTTGCTCCTTGAAATGATCCTGTGAGTAAAAAATTTATGTGCAAGTGAAGAAACTGGCTGGAAACAACCCAGATATATGATAATAGTAGCATGGATAAACAAATGTGGTATAGTGGTTATAATGGAATACTAGATAGCAGTTAAAAATGAAGGAATTCGGCTCAGTGCAGCAATATGGATGACTCAAATATATAATGCTGAGTGAAAAGACAAATACACTGGAAACATCCATTTATATGAAGCTCAAAAGTGGATAAAATTAAACCACAATATTTAGAGCTACAAAAATTACTAAGCATTTTTTAAAAAGGCAACAATAATCATAAAAGTCAGGCTAGTATTCCCTCTGGGTGGAAAGGGGCGGGGGTGGCTCATGCACAGAAACAGCATGTGGGGAACTTCTGGAGTGCTGACAATGTTTTATTCTAGATCTAGATAACAGTCACAAAGGTGTCTGCCTTATAATAGTTCATAAGGTATAAATTTGTTTTATGTATTTTCCTGTGTGACATAGTTCACACACATACAGAAAACAAAAAAACCAAACAAACCCTGTATTTTAAAAGTCATGATTCAGAGACTAGTGACTAATTTGTCCAAGGTTACATGGTTTAGTACATGGCAAGATTTACATTACATCAAGTTCTTTATGCCCTAGGGATTTTTATTAAAATAAAGATGCTAATTTAGTAGATTTGGAATGGGGGCTAGGATACTTTATTTCTAATAAGCTTCTCACTCATGCCTATGCTGTAGTTCAAAGGGCTATCCTTTGAGTAAGAAGGCCCTGTATTTCAATGCTTAATTTTCTCCCTATCTCTTATTTCATTGCTATCTCCTTCCTCCTATCTGAACTTGGTTGTGTTCCATGTTTGACCAGCCCATTTTATCACATCAGTCCCTCCTCTACCACACACTCATCCTTCCCATCCTCAATTCCCTATTGCTATAGTACCTTGGCAGCTTAAAAAAGAAAATACAGACCCAAGGGCTCAGTCCCCCAAGATCCTAATTTATTAGGGCTAGGAGTTTTAAAATTTTAAACAAAGCACCCCAGAAATTATGGCACATTAAAACATTATGAAGCTGCTTAAAAAATAATATAGTGCTATGCATGATCTCCAAAATACTAAATGAAAAGCAAGATGTAAAATAGTGTGCTACTATTTGCAAAACTCAAAGAGGTGTGATACTTATACATAAATGGTTGTATATACATAAGATACATAGAAAAAATTATAAGCAGTGACTGGTTGGAGAATTAAGGAGAAAAGGAGAATTAAAAGTCAGGAGTAGAGACTTTTTGTTCTATGTTCCTTTGTGATTTGATTTTTTTTGTTGTTTGTTTGTTTTAACAAGTACAGGCATTTTTTCCTTAAGCTCCCTAAAATAGAAAGCTCCCAGGTATGGGAACCACTGTCCTAGTTAATCGCAAATATATCCTTGCCTCTAAATGTATCTATACACTGCTCTTAACTTTAAAATCTCCTGTGGTTTCCTTAAGTCCTTCATGAAATCCCTAGTCTTAAATCGGTATCTCTTTGTCACTAGTTCCCCCTCTGATTTCCTCTAGCATCATAGTAGAGAAATGTCTGCAGGGGACAGTCAGACACCTACCCAGCTACTCATTCCAGCTATGGATTTGTATCCAAATATTCCCTTTCCCGTTATCAGTGGTATTCCTAAAACCTTCAATCAACCCGCCATCAGCCTTCTTCCTAAGGCCAGCAACACAATAAAATTCTCCTCCCTGCAGCTTCTGGTCTGGAATGGAGTGAGAGCACTAACATCTGAAGCATCTGCAAACATAGATGACTCCTCCGCCATACCCTGGCGGCTACAAGTATGTGTCAGAGAGACATTTTTCTGTTTTGCACGTGGTTTGACTTTAGTTATCGCATGCCTAAGAATACTTCTCCTTAAGAAAACGTGGCAATGCTTTCATCCAGCAGGATGGTTTATTTTCCTTCTCCATCCTTTGCAGCGCTTTCAAAGCAAACATCCACTCGGTCCGTGGGTCGTCCTGCATTGCAGGGTACACGAATCTTAATTCCAGAAACGACTGTGTTACTCTAGCTCGTCTCTCCCTGCAAGCCAACCCCAAACCCACGCTCCTAAACGAGGGTATATGGGAGTCGCCTCCTGCAGCCAAGTGGGCGGCCACGCTGGACGGAAGGCGAGCGCCAGAGCCCAGGCACGGCGGCCTTTCCGGGTTGGGCTCTGCGGGAAAGGGGCGACGCAGAGAAGGGGGCGCGAGAATTCCAAACGCAGTTGAGGGTGATCCCCCGAGTCCTGAGAGAGAGGGGAGGGGGAGCCAGGAGGGCAGGCGGCAGCCGCAGCCAGGGGTCGGTCAACGCCGCGCCGACCCCAGCGGACACGCAGGCAGCCTCACGCCGGACGCCCCGACCTCCGGCCCCCCCGTCACTCACCCCGGAGTTACACCCCACGTCGAGCCCCAGGATTGGCCTGGCCTCGGAACGCGGAGGGAAGAGCCGGCGAAGCAGCTCCGGGGGCAAGAGGCGGAGCCGCTGCTCTGGAGGGTGGAAGCGGGAGTAATGAGGGAAATTTCCGAACGGGGCGGCCCCGGGTTCCAGAACTCGCGGGTCCTCTTCCGCCTTGGCTTCCTCCTCACCCGCAGCGTCCGGTTCCGCGGGCGCCGCCATTAGCGCCAGCCGGGCCCGGGTCTCCCCGGAACCGGAAGCCGGAAGCCCGGGGGCGGGTCCGCGCGGCCGAGGCGCCATCGCGCGTGCGCGAAGGGGCGACGCGGGGGGGGGTGTGTGTGTGTGAGGCCGAGGGTCGCCGCGCCGCCCTGATGACGAGAACGCCTTCGCGAGCCCCTGCCGGGCTTGTGTCCAACCCCGAAAGAACTAGAACGTGGTTAACATTTGGATAAAATACTTGAATAGATCTTTTTCCCACAGAAGACGTACAAATGAACAACAGGTTTATGAAAAGATGCTCAGTATCATTAATCATCAGGAAAATGCAAATCAAAGTCACCATTAGATGTCACCTCACACTTATTAGAACAGCTATGACAAAATAAAAAGTGTTGGCAAATGTGTGGAGAAAGTAGGAATGTTCAATGGTGCAGCCTCTGTGGAAACAGTATGAAGTTTCCTGAAAACAAAAACAAAAACACTAGACGTGCTATGTGATCCAGCAATCCCATTTCTGGGTATTTATCCGAAGGGTTGAAAGCAGGATCTTGAAAAGACATAAACATTCCAATGTTTGTTTTGACACTGCACCGTAGTCAAGGTGTGGAAACAACTTACATGTCCAACAACACATGAGCAGATACAAGAAATGTGGGATTATAGATAACAGTGGGGTATTATTCATTTTAAAAAAGAAGGAAATCCTGCCGTATGTGACAATATGGAAAAGCCCTGATAAGTGACATTATAATAAGTGAAATAAGCCAGGAAGGGGGGAGTTGCTAATCAATGGGTATAAAGTTTCAGTTATACAAGCTGAATAAACTCTAGAGATCTACGGTACAACATTGTGCCCGCAGATAACAATACTGTATTGTACACTTAAAAATCTGTTAATAGGGTAACCGATCACATGTTAAGTGTTCTTACCACAATGAAATAAAGTTTACAACAAGGCAAACTTAATGGAAGATGTAGTAGGTGACTAAAGCCAGGTCTGTTCTGGGAATGGTAAAATGGAAGGATGAAAGAAACTGAACTGAAACAGACATGGTGGAATGGAACTAGGCAAAATGTGGGCTGAGGGAGAGATAGGGAAAAATATTAGGACTTGTGAGGAAAGAAACAGAAGTGTCATCCTGGGTAGCACGTTCAAGTCAGAAGCTAGCACAGCCCAGAATATCCAGCAGGTTCAGCCAGGGGTCAGTAGAGTGGTGCAGACCTATCCCCATGTAACCTGAGGCTGTTGCTACATGAGGCTGGTGATTTGCTGAAACGGTTTTTTTTTTTTTAAGACTTATTTTTATTTATGCATACAAGAGCTGTGGTGTAGGCTAGAGGTAGGGGGCGGTGTGTGTGTGAGAGGATTCACCAGAGACAGAGTGGGGAGCAGAACAGGCAGATCTACTGAAATACACTGCTGAGGGGAGTAGCGGGGGAGACAGGAGAGGTCTGCTGCTCCAGGTGGGTTGGCTGCCAGGCCAAACTCATGCTGCAATGACTGACAATAGCTTATAGTGCCGAGACTTTAACCCCTGTGGCACCAGGGAGGCCCAATTTGCTGAACTTCTAAGGGATTGAAGCATGGCACCTACAGACACTGCCATCAGAGATTAAGACAGGCACTCTTTCCTCCCAGGATTTGCTTTATCTTTTCATCTCCGGTCTATTTGGGGACATATGGTAATGAGCAAAAGTCCTTTTGTAAACCACAATACTGTGCATACTCTGCCCAGCTTCTAGAAAAGAGGAGGAGGTTGGGATAAGAGCACTAGTGCCATTTCTTGACAGATTTTGGTGAGATACACTTTTAAACCACTTAGAAGTAACAACCTTAAAAACCATAAAATTTATAAATGTAGTGCTATAGCTGAGAGGCAGTCAAGAGAACAATTATTTTATATCCCTCATTTTCAGACCCAGCAGGTAGTTTTCTCCAAAGATGGAGTCAAATTAGACAGGCCAAGCTAAGTACTGCAACAAACAAGCCTCAGTGGCTTGGAAAAGCCCTGATAAGTGACATTATAATAAGTGAAATAAGCCAGGAAGGGGGGAGTTGCTAATTGTAAGGTCAGGAATGACCACTGAGAAGGTTTTCTGATCCAGCAGACCGGGTAAAGGAGGAGTCAGAGTCCTCAGTGGTTTTTGCAGGTCTTTTATTGGGGTTCACCAGGCATACGACAGGCAGGGGTGCTGGGGGGGCCGGGAGGCTGGCAGCCCTCCCAGCCCCCAGCAAATCCTCACTACCTGAGCTCTCTGGCCTTTTCTCTGTTTCTCTTCTTCTCTCAGCTTCCGTTGGTTCTTGGCTTCTTCTTTTGGCTTCTCTTGGCGTCCCCGTGACGCCGCCCTTAAAAGCACAGTCTTAGCCCAGGTGAATCCCATCTACCTATGCCCACACCCTATTCCAGGTGCCCGCCATCAGGCATGCATTCAGGACCGCAAGGATCCATCATCTATCCTGATGGCGGGAGGGCAGAAAAACCTGACATTTTTCCTTACCCTACACTAATCAATGGGTATAAAGTTTCAGTTATACAAGCTGAATAAACTCTAGAGATCTACGGTACAACATTGTGCCCGCAGATAACAATACTGTATTGTACACTTAAAAATCTGTTAATAGGGTAACCGATCACATGTTAAGTGTTCTTACCACAATGAAATAAAGTTTACAACAAGGCAAACTTAATGGAAGATGTAGTAGGTGATACAGGTGATACAGGCTGCCTGTGATAAAGGTTTGCTTCTCTCTCTTGTCACATCCAGAGTGGGGAGGAGAGAAGAACCCTCTGCTTCTCAGACAATTCACGAATCCGCATAGTCCTTCAGTGAGTCCTTTATGTATGATTGCAGATGAGGGAGCAGAGAGCCTGGAGAATCTTAAGGGATGGTTTGACAACTAGTCAATACCTTGAGTATAAACTTGGACAAGTCACTGTATCTTCTGCTCCCTTGTTTCCTCTTAGGTAAAATAAAAGGGGTGGAATGGATTCATTTCTCCCCTTGTAAAAGGAGTGTCCCCCCATCTGCTGCTGGGGTCGGGGAGAGAGCAGTGGGTCCCTCTGAGCACCACCACACAGTGCAAACCGGGTTTGATAGCTGACCTTGGCACAAGCTGAGTTTGGGTTTGGAAAAAAGCAGTGGCGTTTTGGGTGACCATGCGGGGCCGGTTTAAACCTGGCTGGCACCATACAGATACAATCGAGCTCCCCTGTCCCGCCCCACTGTGAGGGCCCAACCTCAGTGCAGGTGGGTTTCACGGCTGGTGAGATTTCAGTTTTAGAGACCACATGGTTTTGTGAATGGACTAATCAGGTTCGAGCTCGCATCAGCCCCTGTCAAGTCTTGGAAACAGCTGGTTTTGTAAACAGGCCAGTCAGGTTTAAAAGGTGGCTGCCCGGAAGAGGACATAAGTGGAGTGTAGACTGCTTCTGTCCAGACTATCCTGGAAATATCTTTGACACAGACCCCCAAGACCTCAAGACCTTTGAGACCTTCACATCTGATCTCCACTTCAAGCCACCATCTAACTGCTGCTCCTGCCTCCAGCCCTGACTCCACCATCACCCGCTGACTCGCACCACTGGCTGACGTCTCTGAAAGCTGTACACTGGGGCCTGGGGCCTGGCACTGACTCTAAAAGAGCTGCCTGTGTTAGCTTGTGCCAATGGCACATCTAAGCACTGTAGCACTCCTGGGTGATTCTTGTCACCTGCTGACCAGTGCTAACTGGCACTGCTGACCTGTGTCTGGCCGCCCCTAAGAGCTGTTCACTGCTTCTGATCTCCTGGCACCATCACTAGACCACTACTCTTGCTTCCAGTGCACCCGGCACTGCCTTGCGGTGCTGCGGCTTCTGGTGCTGTCTGGTCCAGCTTCCAGCATTGCCTGGCCTCCAGGTAGGTAGACCTGGCATCCACTGCTGGCTGTGGCAGTGTCACCTCAGTCAGCATCACCTATAATTACCTCCAGCTACCAGCGTGAGTTGGGTCCTGGACTACTGTTTACCAGTGTGCCACAAGCTCCAGGCTCTCCTCAGAGGCACAGTGCCATCTTACACGAGAAGCCTTTGGTTTAGACTACTAGACACTGTGGACACTATCTGGGGTAGGACAGCCAGTTATTTGTTGCCTTAGAAACTCTTTCCTTTCCCCCAATTTCCCCTTTGTTAATAAATCCCATTGTTTTTGCACCTTGAATCTGAGCCGAGTCTTACAATTGTAAGCACATGGGTGAGGACCCATTAACTGTGACCTCCCCCAGGTTTTGCGTGGTTTCACATTTATTCAAAAGCTGTTTATTGAGACTATTTGCCATAAATCCTGTTAATTCAAGGGTGACACATTTCACGCCTTCAAGGAGCTCAGGTTTCATAGAAGAGACAGGAGAAGCAGTTAAAACACAGCTGGATTGGTGCAGGGGGATTCTGAGGAGGGAGTGGCCAGGGCACCTGGGGAGGATAGGCAAAGTCTTCATAAAGCTTTGATTCTTGAGGATTCTTCATGTACAACAGAATCTTTTGTTCTAGAAAAACAGACTTTGGGTGAAATTAAGGAATAATCTTCTACGAACAACAGACAAAAGAACAGACTCCAAGGAAAGCGCCTGGAGGAAGCTCTAGCAGGACTGTGATGGTGTAAGGACCCAGGGGTCTGCAAAGGCTGTGTGTGAGCTGGAGGGCCAGTGAGCTTTGTTTCTACGTAAAGATCAACGTAGAGATTTGATTCACGCTTAGCTACGCAGGGAGAAGCGGCGCTGGCTGGTGTGACCCTTTCACACCAAGTCTGAGCTAAACGTCACGCACGGACTCCCTGTGCCAGCTCAGGTGACAAGCAAGAGGCAGTGGAAGTAGTTCAAGTGTCATAATTATTTTTATTCTGCTCTCCCATCAGTCATGAGCCAGGACCAGGAAGGGAAGGTCAGAGAAGGGAACAGGCATGAACCCCGGGAGAACTTGGAGGAGGTGAGGTTCAAGGATTTCAGTCTGAGGAAATGTCTCTGCATTCAGACACTGGGGAGAAAGCTCCGGGGCGGTGGCAGGGCAGTTTCTAGCAGATGGGTAAATGTGTCTGAGACATGTGACAATGGTTGGATGAAGGGGAACAGCAGGGGACTGATACGGAGAGAGAGGCCTAGGGAGGCCCGAGAAGGACTAGGAAGGAAAGTCAGTAGCCAGATCCTGCCTGCAACTTCCGGCCTTATAGCCCCTGCCCTTCTCCCTTGCAGAGCCAGGCCCTGCGTTTCCTCAGGCAACCACTGAAGGGCAGCAAAGTGCTGGTGTAAATTCCCAGCCCACTGGGAGAGCTGCCAGGCCCTGGGACTTGCCTCCAGGTGGGCCAGGGAAGGAGGGGCAGAGCCTTTTGGAATAAGGTGTCTGTCTGATCCTGAGTCGCTGGGGAGCAGAGGGTAGAGGAACCAAGATTTCTGGGGCTTCCCCAGGCCACACATGCACGTGGGAATGGGAGCAGGCAGCCAGGGACTCCCTCTGCCTCCAGGCTGCCAATCTGTAATACCCAGGAAAGCAGCTCAGCAGCTCCTGGTCTCTCTTCCCCTCATTAGGAGGCCTCCAACCTTGCTTCACAGATGGTCAGATTCCTGGCAGCCTCTAGCTTTATAAAACCCAAACTTATCCCTCCCGGGCTCTACCCCACCCCTACCAAAAATGTGAGGGGCCAGTAGGCACCCCATCCCCCTCTGCCGCTTGGGACACCCGCCCAGCTTCAATTTCTTGGTTTCTTGTAATCCTGCATTCCTGTTCCCCGCCCTTCCTTCTTTCAAGCTCCATCCAGGTGTTCCCGGCTCCTCAGAGCCTGATGCAGGTGGAATGTAGGAGCCGCTCCTGGCTCTGCAGGCAGCTCAGTGTGCCCACGCCCCTCGTTGGACCCTGAGAGGGGGGCTCTGCTTTCAGATGGCCCTGAGTGACCTCTGTCACATTGCTCATGGCTGAGGATCTGCCGCCCTCCTGCTTTGGGGGCTCATCGTTGGACAAACCTTTCCATCCCCAGTTCCTACAAAAACTGTTTGCGGAAAAGGAGGACTTGGACAGGCAGAGTGGGAAGCATGATCAGGGTTGCAGGGTGAGGGGTGGAGGGAGAAACCCTTTAAAAGGGAGGCCAGAGGTTAGGAAAGGGACCAAAGGGAGGGCCCTTGAGGAAGGGACAACGGGGCGATGAAGTCGATGGAAATCGTGTCCCGGCACCTCTTTCTTTGCCACCCTGGCCACGATCTGCCATAGTGATGATGGGAAGATGGATTCTCAGACAGCAAGAAACACTAGCCTAGAACCACAAACCTGTTGGCAGTAAGACTGGGAACCAAACACCAGAATCTGACCTCAGCTTGTGTCTAGAAGGTGGGAACCACGGAGTATAAAATCTGGTGGTGGTAGCTGGGGGATGGGGGCGATGGAAGGCCAGGGGCAGCACTGAGGACAACAAATTCCCAGAGTCAGGCCTGACCGCCAGCCTCATCCTAGGCCCTCCACACCGCGCTGTCAGCTGTACCACGGCACTGAGCCCTCGGCCACCTCTGCTTTCCCCTCTGCAATGGAGCTGTGCAGGGCACGGCCTTTGTAGGATCACTGTGGTGGATTTAGACTAGCACACAGTAGGCATCCTACCCACGCTCCTAGTTGCCTTTATCTCACACACACCACCACCATCTCTCTTCTCAAATACCAAGATGGAACAAAACTTCAAATGCTTTTGCAATATTCTTGAAATCTGGGAAAAGGAAGGCTGGAGAAGGAGGGGGAACGGACAGATAACATACCTAGCCACCTCTGGCTCCCCCCGCTCTCCCCACTGGCCAACAGAGCCCCCAGCACAGGGAGAGAGAATCAGCCCTGGAGGGAGAGGCCAAGGGAGGGTCCAGGTTCAGGTATCCACTCTCAACCTCCTTGGCTCCACCCAGTAACTTTCCACTGGCCCAGAGCTGGCCTTGCACAGCTGCTGGCTGGCCCTCCCCCGCCCCAGTGGGCCTGCAGGGGATGGGGGTGGCTGACGTACACCCTGCCGAGATCTCAGCCGCCTGAAGGCTGATAAGGAGGCCCGGACCTCATCACATGGGGCCTGCTGGAAGGACTGGCCACCGTTGTTAACATCAGCTGGACAACTTCCAAATTGGATTGTTGAGATAAGGAGTGGAGGGGGCTTAGGACTCTTGGCTGAATGGCTGGAGAAGAGAAGCTAGGAGAAGGGGCAGGGGGACTGTCAAATGAGCCTGTTTGCTGACTGGGGAGAAGCCAGCAAAAGGGAGCTGATGGGGGAGGGTTTGGGGAATAAGAAAGGCCTTGGGGAAGGGCTGGGGGCAGGGAAGCATTCCCCCCAGATGGGGCTGACTTGACTAAAATAGTCCTCCTGTCCTCAGAACACCCAGTCTTCGAGGGCCCAAGTCTTCTCTTAGCCTCAGGACTGCAAGGTGAGAGGATGTAGGTCTCAGTCCTGCGAACCCCAAAGTCCTCCCAGATGGATGCAGGTGAGTGTTGGGGAACCCAGGCCTCCCAGTTGGCTGTCCTGCTCCCACCCGCCTTAGAGTTCTAGGACAGTCCCCCAGTTAGCAGCAGGCCCTCCAGCCCCTACCTCCTGGCCCAACAGTGCTCTATCATGACCCAGCAGGGTAAGCCAGGGCAAGTGCAGATGGCACTGCTTCCTACCCTCTGCCATTGTTCTTGGCTCTAGGGTTCAAGTGCCTAAAAAAGTAACTGGTCCCAGAGTGGAGACAGCACGGGCAGCCTAGGACAAACTGTCCACCCATGTTCCCCTACCCGCAGAGCACCCTCTCCCCATCTCCCAGCTGTCTCCCCAGCCTCTTCCTCACAGCGTGTCCATGCCTGACCTGGAAGCAAAGATAAAGGGGTGGACTGGACACGGCAGAGTATGTCAAGGTCACACAGGAATGGCAGCCTAGGAGGAGTGACTCTGGGGGTGCTGGTTTCAGTCAGGCTTCCTGGGGTCTCTTTCTCACATCTGACATCCTGCTAGGCTCTGCCCACTCATCCCTGGGGCCCTCAAACCCAGAGGAGACTCCACCTTGACTATGGCGGTTTTGGAGATGTGACTAGGGGAGGGCACATGGGGGCTGGCGGGGTCTTGTTCCACGGGGCCCCTGATGGAAGAGGTTCAAGCTGCAGGGGGCCGGGGCGGTGGTGGGGGGGTGAGGCCGAGGGAAAGGGAGGGTGGCCACAGACTGGGCTGGCAGCTAATTTTATATCTGGGCTTGCAGGAGCACAGGGAGGGGCAGAGAACCAGCAAGGGGCATTTTCTGAAGGAAGGAGGGCGTGGGAAGGACTCCTCAATCCCGGTTGGTGCCAAAAAGCTGCAGGAAGAAGGTGAAGATGTAGATGATGTCTAGGTAAATGTTGAGGGCTCCAAAAATATACTCCTCAGGGCTCAGCGAATGGCGTCGGTTCCCCATCAGCAACTGGGTGTCAAATGCCAGGAACTGAGGGAAGGGAGAAGAGAGAGAAGTCAGACAGTCCAGGCCCTATGACACTGACCACGGGGGCCCGGTCCCCACCCAGGCCCATCACCTGCTGCCTGGCTGCCCAGGGATGCTCCTGGAATCTGGAACTCGCCCAACACCTTCCTCCCCTAATCCAGCACCTATTTACTGAGGACCTACTATGTGCCAGGCACAGGAAAACAGAAAAGAACTAGACAGACAAGATCCCTGACCTTGAACTTGGAGTCTACGGGGATGCAACTGTTACACTTATTAAAATTAGAAAAAATGAGCCTAAGACAGAATCGTTCATTACCCCCACCCAGATTTAATACCCTTCCTCTCCCAGAGGATCTGGGGTTTCCTAATCAACACAGCAGGCTCATCTGAATGATGAGGACCCCCTGCTTCCCCTTAGGGAAGGTGGCTTTATCTGGAATAATCTTTTCTTAAGCTAATAACTTGCCCCACTCGCTTTCTATCAGTTTTGTAAGCCTTTGCAGTACATAGACAGGATGCAGATTCATGAATCCTTTAATAAAGCCAATTAGATCTCTATATTTGTGGATTTTGATTTTTAACGGTATGATGAATATAACCAAAGAGAAATAAGAAGTCCCATGGGGGGCGGTGGGAGAGGGGGCTGATGACAAATCATCTGGTCTGTGCAGGGGTGGCAGGGAGTTAGGGAAGGCTTTCTGGAGGAGGGGACCTCAGGAGACTTCCAAGCTGAGGCCCAGGCTTCCTGCCACTCCCTCCCTTGTTCTTACATAGAGGATAAAGTTTTGAGCAATAATGGCAAGGGCTGGGCATTTGTTATGTGCTTTACAGACATTAGTCTATTTAGTCCCCTTAACATCCCCATTGAGTAGGGATTCTATCGTCTCTAGAGGAAATCAAGGCCCAGAGATATAATGCTTTGCGGGTAAGGTCCAGCCTCCTCCTTTGCCTCTGATGTGGTGAATTCCACCCTCTTCACACCAGGCCCCTGACCTGGAGGACTTCTCTAGGCCTCACCAGCCTAGCAAACCCACATTCATCCTTCAAGCCCCAAGTCAAGTGTCACCTCTTCTGGGACGCAATTACACAGCTGCCAAGGGGCAAAGCCAGGATTTGAACTCAAGTGGCTGGCTCCAAAATCCCCACTCTTAACCATGGTGCTCTGCTGCTTATGGGCAGCACCGAGTCTGCTCCGAGGAAAAAGGCCTCCCCAGGGTGCCTTCTTGGCCTATGTACTGTGAACAGTAATTCCCTAGAGATAACTCCTCTCTGCCACCCTGCTACCCTCTACCAGGCCTTCCCACGATCGCCACCAATTCCTACTCTTCCCACTTAGCTTTTCTCTGGGGTCCAAGCTTAGCTAGCAGAACTCCCAGAAGTAGCATGTTATACTTGATAGGACTTTTCTGGGAGGAAAAAAAACCCAAAAAGTTCCACCAGTGCTTCAAAGGTTATGAACTGGTCTACATGGGATTGGAATTCCTTAAATCCATTCACCCTCTGGGCTGTGCCCACTTCTTCTGCTATTTGTGTGAGGAAGACTTGTGTTCCTTGGGTCCTCAGAAATATGAATATTTAGTAATATGCAATAAACAAATATGCAGAGGCTAAGAGCTGATGCCAGCAACTTGAGAGGTGCAGAGACAGCACTCAGGGTTTGGGGCTTCATGGGGGACACTTAGATGATTACAATAAAGCCTGGTAAATGCCATGATCGGGCTTGATTAGGAAGGAGGAATGTATCCCAGGAGAGATGACACTTTACTTGGAGCTTGAGGGATGAGTAGGAGTTTGCAAGGCTGATAAGGGGGTAAGGGGCATGATGTGAAAGTGTGGAATCCTGTGAGGCAGGAGCAGTGGAAGACGGGGACAGAGGGGGGACATGGGGGCTGCCCACAAAATTTGTGCCAGCTGGGCTATGCCTAGCTTCCTTTTCTTCACCCCAGGCACTGGCTCCCAGATTCTAGGACCCAGTCTTCATGGGATAGATTTAGGTGAAGCCATCAAGGATCCCTGCTCAGAAGCAACGCCCCCAGCGCATAAGGAGCTGGAGATTCTGGCAGGGATCAGTCCCAGCACGTGGGCTAGCAAGACATGTCACCCTCAAAGGTAGGTAGGCAGTAGGGGTAGTTACAAGTGTGCGCTCGAAAGCCAGAGTGACTTGAATTCCAGTCTCAGCTCTGTCGCTCCCTAGTTCTGTGACCCTGGGCAAGGTATTTAGTCTCTGAACCTTTATGTCTACATCTGTAAATGGAAGATGAGTGTGCTTGCCTCCTGAGGTGGTGGTGAGAGTGAGATCATGTGTGTAAGGTGCCTGGCATGTTGCCTGACACAGGGTGAGCCCTAATGAATCATAGCGATTACTGTGCTTATTGTTATTATTGCAGGAGAGCTGCCTCCTGGGACATGTGCGTGCTGCTGCTGGGACACTCTCCGCAGCTCAGCGGGAGGCAGAAATGTTACTCGGGGAAGCTGCATGGCCTTAACAGAAGACTGAGAGCCTTAGTCAGGGTTGCGGGGCCTGGGTAGAGGTCTGGGGCCCCTGAACTCAGCAGTTTGAGAGAAAGGGGCCTGAGAACAGGGCCTGGAGTGCCGGTTCCATCCCCCAGTAACCATCACCCACTTGCCTCAGTGTCCTCATCTATAAAATGGGGCAGTAATAGTGACCACAGCAGGAAAATAAATGACAGTGGATGTGGCATTAGCCAATCTTCTTTGATATCACTACATTCCTTTCTGCTCTGCTCCTTCTGAATTTGATTTAGCTTCCCAAGTAAATTTTTCTCCTGTAAAGAGAATGAGCCAGGAACGGGCTCACTCCAACACAACAGGCTGCTTAGTAGCCACAGCTGCCAACATTCGTTAATAAATTGTTGATCTGGCTTATCACTCAGTAGCTTGCCTGGTTGATTTCCCAGAGTCTGGTCACCCATGAGTGAGTTAATGAAACATAATCTCTCAACCTAGAAGACTTGGACCTGACCAGGTCAGCGGGTGGCTCCTGCAAGGAGCACCCATCCAGGAGGCCTCTGAGAACAGCCAGCTGGCTTCTCCCTTGGAGGGAAGAGGAATGAACATTTTCTGCTCCTCCCTTGGCCAATGACCGTGGATGTTTATTTACCTGGTGCTATCTGGAAGCCAGCCCTGCCTGAAGCATCACTGCAGCCTCCTTTCTGTGAGTCAACTGCAGGCTTTCATTTATTTACTCCCAACAATATTTACTGAGCATCCACTATGTTCCAGGGAACTTGTCAGAAAACTGACAGTGGCGTGAGGGCAAAGGACATTCTCAGAGATTACATTATGTACAGATTCTCATTACAGGGGAAAGTAACCCGGTAATCTCTTGGTAGTGATATGCATTGTTAACTAACATCTTCATGGAGAGCAGATATCTTGGTTAGCATCTGGTTGATAGTGAAGACCTCAGTTGTTTGCTAATACCTAAAAGGGCAGCAGGTACTTGAATTGGTAGCTAACTGACTACAAGACCCTGCAGGAGCTGCACTTGGGTTGGGGCAAGAGGCAAGCGTGGAATTGGGCTGCTGTTAACTTAGGTCCTTTCACACACTAATCCTTATCTCACCTCCCTTGTCCATCATGCCCTAGGCGGGGGCCTCTATTATCTTGCTTTTGTATTTCAGCAAAAGAATCTCAGGACAGGTAAATTGCCGGTGGTCACTTATATAGCACTGGAACTAGGTCACCTGCTTCCCATTCTGATAGAGAGAGGGACAGAGTGGACTAGCAGGGACAAAGAGGTCAGGCACAGAGGGCAAAGGAGCCGGAGGGACACTACCTGGTCCGCGCTGTTGGTCAGGGCCACTCGGCCACACACTTGACGCGACCCTTCTGAATTCAGGACTCAGGTTTGTGTCTGTTGTCCTCTCAGAGGGCGTGTGGGGCCATGCCGTGGGGAGGCTAGCTCAGAGTCACCAACAGACACTGAATACAAAAAGCCTGGGCTGCAGTGTGTCGAGTCAGCATAAAAAATAACAAATGGATCGACCATGTCTGTCCTAGAAAACCGCTGTGTAAGCGCACAAAGCCGCACACCCACAGCTGTCCACCCCAGTGGCCTAACAGCTAAACACTAGAAACAACGACAGACTCCGTCAGCTGAGGGGCAGCTAAAGGGACCGTGAGAGCCAGACAGAGGCAGAAGCCATGCTGCCACCTGCTATTATGAGAAGAAAACCAGCAGCGGAAAAATCCATATCATACGATCCCTTTTATGTAACAAACCTCACAAAACGCAGTTGTAGGAGCCTACAGGTAGCAGAGAGCTAGGAAATGCATATAGAGGCCTATAAGGAGAGACAAGGGACCACAGCAGTTATTAACTCTGGGGAAGACAGGGCTGAGCGTGATCACATGACACTTTGCTTTATCTATATTATTCAAGATTTCCAAAAATGAAATCTGTGAATAAATGTATTCATGTTATTTGACTAGAAAACTTTTAAAAAGGGATTAAAGTAACACAGAAGAGGTCATGAACTCTTTCACTGAACGTGCACCGTAAGCCTGGCCACCATGTAGCTTTGAGGCAGAGAGGATGAGTCTTGCCCACTTCACTCAGCCAGGAGGATGCTCAGGTCTTTTACCTCAAATCCCACCCTTTCCACCTTGTAACACTACTTCAGTGTGTGGGGGGGGTGTGTGTGAGGGGGTGGTATGTGTGTATGGTAATTGTGCGTGGTGGGTGAGTGTGTGGTGTGTATGAAGATAAAGTGTGTGTTGAGCAGGTGGTGTGTGTGTGTGTGTAAGGATGGATGATGTGGGAGGAGAAGCACAAACATAGCTCATGGCCAAGAGCACCATAGGCTTCCTGAGGGGCTGCAGGGAGTGCTGGGTGCACCTGGCCCTGCCCCCACTCTCTGCATCAGAGGGTGAGCCTGGGCTTGGAGACAAACAGCCCTTGTATCCTAGGTTGGGATGCAGGACGGGCTGAGGAGAGGAGAGGCACTGGGTGGAGACCAGGGTCTGTCTGGATGCCT